TTTCCGCCTGTTCCGGGGAGTCGACGACCGTTCGTATCTGTGCCTGTTTTTTTCTTTCCTGAAGGTCGTGCATCCTGAGCATCATGAGCTGTTCCTTGACGGTCCCCAGGGCCTGGCGAGGGCCCCCCCGAGGCCGAAAACGCTCGAACACCCTCGCATGGATCTTCCCCCAAATATTGGAGCACTGGGTCTTCAACGCGCGCTGCCGGCGGCCTCTGCTGCAGGCGCCTCCGCTCGCTTCGGTGCAGGGCGAGCTGCGGCAACGGCAGCTCGAGATCGATCCCCAGACCCCTCCCGGGAACCACACGCACCGACTCCCCGAGCGGCGTCCAGCCGTGGCGACGAGGGCACCCCCGAAGTCCAACTACCGCTGAGTCTCAACTCGCCCTCCTCTGAGGGACGGAGCCAACAGGAATGCAACACCGCGAAAAATCACGACTGGAGTCCTGGACCCCGTCTTCCTGAAGCATTTTTCGGGCCGGATCGACCTGCGAGTGCCCAGGGGCCCCAAATAGGGCGAAGCTGCCAAGCTCGAAGAACTGAGACGCCGGAATCTGAAGGAACTCGCCCTCCGATATTCGCCTACACGCAAGAGTGACCCCGGGCAAGGGCGACCGTCGGTGCGCGGCTTTCAGGGGCCGCGGGGCAGCGACACCCAAGCGCGCAAGCCAGTGCAGGAACGACCCCCGTGGCCCCCCGCCAAGAAGGTCACCCCGGCGAAAGGTCGCTCTCATCGGCAGCGGGCCCGGGGGGAGGCGAGAAGGGGCGGGCCCTCTCAGAAGGCTCGGAAGGGGCGGGCCTGCCCCGAAGACGCAGATCACTTCTTCTCAGGAGGCGCGAGGGCTTCCGAGAAGCCCCGCCGCCTCCTGAGGAGGCCTGGCCTTCTCCTTCTCACTTCCCCCCCTCGCTCGCCGCCGATCTCGCGCGTGGCCGACATGGGCTTCCGCTCGCGCCGCCGGCGGCCTCTGCTCTGGGTGCCCCCCTTCGCAGTCGTCGCCCCCGCGCAGCGCCCCCGGCTTCGCCGCCGGCGCGCCGTGCTGCTGCACCTCCGCCCGGACCCGGTCGTGCAGCTCCTTTCCACGGGGCCGCTCTCCCCGGGGGCCTCTCAGAGACGCGGAGGCGCTGCCCGGGAGCTGCCTGCGGCAGGCTCGTGTCGCGTCGGCCCTGGCGTTGGATCCTGGCACCGCGGGGATCGTTCCACCTCGGAGCGATCGGGCGCTTCCCGAAGGCCCACATCGTTCCACAGCGAACGGGTATGGATCGCCCGCGGCGTTCCACGTGGGACGCCGCTGGCGGGGTCGCCGCCGGTCGACACGACGCGAACCTGCCGTGGGCGCTTCCCACGAGCCTAGAAGCAGGAGTACTACCTGGGAGCTGCCGGGGCGCTGCCCATATGAGCCCAGGAAGCGCTGCCCAGGCGCTGCCTAGGCGCCGCCCGCGAGGGTGCGTTCTGGCCAGAGGAGCCGGCCACGGCGACGGGGGCTCCCCTGTGGGACCCTGGCGCTGGACTTTTTTTTTTCGAGCCGCGGCGCTCTCGCCGGGCTTCGGGACCACGGGGCCACCGAAGCTCGAGCCGGCTCGAAGGATGTCGGGTCGGGCGAAAGGGGGGGATAGCAAAGGGGGGGGTTGAGAATCCGCTCGCGTAGCTGATTTTCCCGGCGCCTCCCGGCGCCGGAGGCGGCCATGTATCGAGGAGTGGGCCCCTCGGTGGGGCCGAAACCAGCTGCATGCAGCAGATTTTGTAACCCCCCCCTTTCCCAATCCCCCCCTTTCGTCCGGCCCGAGAATGCAGCAGAAAGGTGGTGTCTGGGGCTCTGGTCGCGATTCTTCGCCAGGCTGCATTTGCTTGCAGCGTCGGGCCTCGGGGTCTCGAGGGCGCGCGAGCGAGCCACGCGCGCAGGCCTGCCGGCTGCTCGGCCCTGTGCAGGGCATGGGCGGACCAGCGGCCTGCCAGGCGGACAGCTAATGTCAGGTCGGGCCTGTCCCCCTACAGGGGGGGGCTTCGGACGACACGCGAAAAAGACCCCACAAATACTCAAGACATATCCAAGCACACAAAACAATGTAGAGGGGCAGGCCCGACTTACAGCTCATATGGAGCACGAGCATTCGCCAGAAGTGGCCCTCCGTTGGAAATGACACAAGCACGAGCTCTCGGAGCTCCGCGCCGACTGCTTGGATCGGCGCTGCGCCCCCCCCTGGCGCGCCACGGGGGGGGAGGGACACAGCGCCGATCCAAGGAAGCGGCGCGGACCTCCGAACCTTTATGCTGACGTACTGAGTCCAGAAGGACAGCTATCGGGTTGGGAGGATCGGGCTGAGGAGGATACGGGGCACGACTGTGTATGAGACGCACTCGACCTACACGAGAATTCCCGAATCAGTGCTTTCACTGAAGGGGTCCTAGCGGAAACTGAAAGATCTGGCGAAAATGTTCCGCCGATTTTGGTAGCCGGCTGGGTTCCTCGGTTCCTGGTTCTGGGTTCCCGGGTTCCTGGTCATTGGTTCCGGGTCGATTTCGGTGGGTTCCCGGGTTCCCGGGTTCCTGGTCGATCTGCTTACCGATCTCTTTATCGATCCCATTTCTAACCATCCATTGATTGGGGCTTTTCTCTGGTGAAATATAAGGACGATCTGGTCCTCTCTCCCGACCCCATCCTCCCAACCAGATCATTCCTCCTCCTCCTCCTCCTCCTCCTCCTTCTGATCAGCTGCCCTCCGACCCTCCTCCTCCTCCTCCTCCTCCTCCTCCTCCTCCTCCTGATCAGCTGCCCTGATCATTGCTCCTCCTCCTCCTCCTCCTCCTCCTCCTCCTCCTCCTCCTTCTCCTCCTCCTCCCCCTCCCCCTCCTCCTCCTCCCCCTCCTCTTCCTCCTCTTTCTGATCAGCTGCCCCCCGACCCCGAGAGGCGGCAGCGACGCCTCTCCCTGCCCCCCCGAGCGGCTCCTGCGCCGCGGCGCGCGCGGCCTCCGCGCGCCGGGCGGCCTCGCACGCCTTCTCCGACAGCCGCCGCGCGTCGGCGTGCCGGGCCGCGTGCTCGGCCCGCGCCAGCGCCCTGCGACTTGCGCCCTCGCAGGAGAGCCCAGGATCGGATCGACAAGTCGGATCGGCGATCGACATGAATCGGGTCGTCGGAAATCGGCAGCCGAGTCGGGAGAAGTCGGATCGGCAGAAATTGGCAGGCTAGTATGCCTCCGATGAGAAATCGGAACCCAAATCGGAATCCCAGATCGAATCGAATCGGAATCGGAAACCATCGAAATCGAATCGAATCGAATCGGAGGAATCGAAACGAGCCCTGCCTCGCGGTGGAGGGCGCCGATCGCCGCCAGCTCGGCGACGAGGAGGAGGCCCAGCGCGGCCAGGAGGACGACCGCCGAAGGAGCCAACGACGGGCACGAGCACAAACTTTCGCAGCCCCGCGCGGCTCTGGCTTGGACCGGCGCTGGTGCGGCGCCCGCGGCGCCGCCCCTGGCGCGCTCCGCGCACCGGGCAGGGGGTCCAGCGCCCATCCAAGAAATCCGAGCGAAGCTCCGAAGGAGCGCCTTTTTTGTTCGCGGCCGTAACGGGCGCTATGGGGGGGAAAGGAAGGGGGGGGGACCGGAGGGGGCATAACTTAGCGCCGCCCCCCCAGACTGCGGTGCCGGACGCACTGCGGCAGTGTCGGGGACGTATTGAGAGGGTGAGCGTCACGTTTCGGGATGGACAGAACCCCCTTTAGAAAAACGTGGTTTAGTGAAAACGACCTCGGGCCCAAACCTGGTGGGCGCAAGCCTGGAAAATGACGGCCGCGGCGCCCGCTCGAGAACCGAAAACGGACAATTCACTAATCGACGTGTCAGGGTGGGGATTCTGCCCACCCCTGAACGTTGCGGGGGGTGGAGGGGCGGGGGAGGGCAGGGGGCACAACGCACGTCATGGCCCAGAGGATCAACAAAAACACTCTCAGGGCTACGCTTACGCCGTTCTTTGCTCCTTCGAGCTGGGCAGAGCCGCGCTCACGCCGAGCGCCCACACGGCGGACGCCGCGGCGAGGCCCGCGAGGGCCGCCGCGGCGCCGCAGCAGAGGCACTGGGGCGGCGTGCAGCGGGTGGGCAGCCCCTCCTCCGCGGCCGCGGTGCGGGCTCCGCCCTGCCGAGGCAGGGTGCACGCCATGTGCAGAAGAAGAAACAGCGCCACAAGCATAAACTCTTGCGCGGATTTCTGCGATCTGGGCTGCGCCCCCTCCCTGGCGCGCGGAGCGCGCCGGGGGCGGCGCTGGAGGCGCCGCCAGGGGGGCCCAGCGCGGATCCAAGAAATCCGCGCGAAGGGCCATGAGTTGATGTTTATGGCGTCTTCCCTTCCTCGAATGTAGCAGACGACCGCCAGGAGGCCGACGGCCAGCGAGGCTTCGCCGACGAGGGCCTGCTGCTGCAGCCCAGAGAGCCACGGCCTGGAACGGGCAGGGGGTCCCGCGCTGCCGAGCGCCACGCCGCCGGGCTCTGCCGCAAGCGTGACGCCGCTCATGGCGACGCCGACGGTGCCCTGCAGGGCGTCCTGGATGCCGCTGACGCTCGAGATGCGCGCGGCGAGGCCCTCCTCCATCAGCGTCTTGCCTCCCCACTCCTGGAGCTGCTTCTCGAGCTTGCGCACCTGCACGTCCGTCGGCGGGTCGAGGGAGACGCGGTACCGCCCCTGGCCGGGCGTGGAGGCGAGCCTCACCGCCATGGGAGGCACCCCGCAGTCAGTCTGGCTGGAGATCTCCTGCTGCATGGCCATCTGTAGGTCCGTGAGCAAGGCTGGCTCGGCCGCCAACGTCTGGAACGACACATTCTGGACGTCCACGTCGAACTCGACGATGTTCCGCTGGGCGCCCTTGGCCGGAAGCGCCGGCACGGCGGCCTCCGGCGCCGTGTACACCTCGGCCACACCCGCGGGCAATGCGCCCCTGGACGAGGCAGACACCGCGTGCATCAGTTCCCCGTCCTGCGAGAGGACATCCAGCGTGTGGTTCTGGTAGGCCCTGACGACCTGCACCGGCTGCAGCCTCGTGGACACCTTGGCCAACACGTGGTCCCCCGCCTGCAGCCGAGCCAGGCGCCCCAGGTCGAGCACCTTGGCTGCCTCGGCCTGGGCGAGGATCTCCTTCGGCAGGCTGCCTGTGCGGTTCAGCTCCAGCATGAAGCTGCTGTTGTAGCTCACCTTTGAAGGGGCCCTGGGACACACAAATAAATACACACAAACCAAAAAATATCCCCCATACTTTCCCATATTTTCGGGGTTTTTGTCTTCCCCCCCACTTCCCATATTTTCCTATATTTTCCTGGGAGTCGACGATTAATTGTGTCTGTGTTTTTTTTTCCCTCCTGAACCTTGACCACGCCGAGCCGCCACTCCCCCGGCGCGCCACCCCTGACGAGAACGGGCGTGCCGGGCGCCAGCCTGCGGTCGGGGTGGCATTGCCGCCTGGGCAGGCCACTGTCCGTAGCCGAATCAGTCTGGCACTGGGTGCCGTTCTCGCCGGTGGCGTTGCCCGAGGCGCGCGCTCCTGGCTCCGCCAGCCGGCGAGTGGCGCTCGAGCCCGGGGGGCCGATCCAAAGCTGGCAGCGTCGATGGTCCGCCTCGAACTTGACGCCCAGGCACGCGGCGGTGCACTCGCAGGCAAGCATGCACGGCTCTAGCGCCAGGGGTGCCTCGATCTCCTTTCGGGGGGCGTCCGAAAGGGGGGCGTCCAAGAGGGGGTCGCAAGTCATGGCCAGAGGCATGCGCGCAGGCGAGGGGGGGACCAGGGGACGTATTGAACAAAAAAAGACGACGAGCCATCACCACAATACGACTTATACTGATACCAATACTAAGACTAATACTAATACTAATACTAATACTAATACTAATACTAATACTACTACTATCACTAATACTAATACTAATACTCTTACTCGTACTCATACTAATACTAATACCAACACTAATACTACCACTAATGCTGATACAAATGCTACTACTAGTACTACTAATACTACTAGTACTACTAAAACTACTAGTAATGAGACAACAGGCCTAGTAGTGCACGACTAAAACTAGTAACAATAATCGTGCCATTTATCACAATAAAACTAACGATGATAATCATACTGAGAAAAATATCAACAATAACAATAATGACGATCATGCTAATAATAGATCTAATGCGAAGGAAGTCCATGACATCTAAAGAGATTTCATGGCCCTGGCCAATCTTTCGAGTAATCGCCCCCCTTTTGGACGCCTCCGATCCTTCAGCTACTCGAAGAAGAAAAACAACGCAAACATAAAAATGTCGGAGGCCCGCGCGGATCTCCTGGGTCGGCGCTGGACCCCCCAGCCCTGGCGCGCGCAGCGTGCCGGGGGCGGCGCCAGGGGCACTGCCGAGGGGCCAACAGCGCCGACACAGGACACCCGCGCGGACTTGGGGGCCTCTTGGGTTTCTGTTGGAGCCTCTTTGGGGTTTCTTGGAGCTCCTTCGGGAGCATTCGGGAGCATCTTGGGGCTTCTGGGAGCCGCCTGGGAGCCGCTTGGGAGCTTCTCGGGGGGCTATCTGGAGGGCCTCTCGGGGGCTTCCTGGGGCTTCCAAAGGGGCCTCCTGGCCTCCGAGACTTTACGTCTTCGCATCGTTTTGCTCTTCCGGCTGCGAGCCCTCGGGCAGCTGGGCCTGCGGGCGCCCTGGGCAGCCCGGCGACGGGCCCCAGCTCTGCCAGCGGCCCCCCGCGTGGTGCGCGGAGGCCTCGTCGCCCTCTGCGCGGCTGGCGTTGGCCGCGGGGCCCTCTGGCCGGAGCAGCGCGAGCGCGACGAGGCCGCCGTCCTCCCAGGGCAGCCGGCGTTCTTTGTACCGAGTGCGGCTGGACCTACAGTCGGGGCACTGACGTAAGGAACCCTCAATAAGGAACGAGGCCCCTTTTTCCCAAAAGTTGCACTCCGGTTCCCCATTGAAGCCTTCGGGAAGCCGAAGGCAAATTGCACAACAATCAAGGAACACCGAGCCCCTCCCCAACGAAAAGGGTTCCTTCTTCAGCGCTCCGACTGTAGGACATAATCTCATCCTTCAAGAGCATGAGACCCTCCGCCGGCCAAGCTGAAGAAGACTCGATGGTGCCCTCCCCCAAGAAGCACGTGGGACATAATCACTCAAGGGGCCCAAGGACACACAGATAAATACACACAAATAAAAGGATTCCCCATCTTTTCCCATATTTTCTGGGTCTTTGTCTTCCCGCCCAACTCCCATAGTTTCCGATGTTTTCTGGGGGATCGACGATTAATTGTGTCTGTGTGTTTTTTCCCTCCTGAATCACATCCTTCAAGAGCATGAGACCCTCCGCTGGCCAAACTGAGGAAGACTCGATGGTGCCCTCCCCCAGGACGCACCAGAACTTTCAAATCAGCACGGCGAACATGAGGGCACCTCCCCCCGACGCGACCTCGATCTTATACCCCAGTCCGACCGTAAACTTAACAGACGCAGCCAGTGGGTGCACGGCCTGCGCCAGCTGGCGTTCCTCGGAGTTCCCCGCTCTTGTTTCTTTCCAATGGCGTTCCTCGGGGTTCCCAGGTCTGGTTTCTTTACGGTGGTATTCCTCGGGGTTCCCTGGTTTGGCCTCTCTGCTATGGCGTTCCTCGGGGTTCCCTGGCCATGTTTCTTCGCAGTGCCGTTCCCCGGGGGTGCTTCGACTGGTTCTTTTGCAATGCGAAGCAATGCCAGGCCAAGCAACGACAAGCAATGCCCAACAATGCCAAGCAATGCCAAGCCTCGCCTAGCAATGCCAAGCAACACCGAGCAATGCCAAGCAACGCCACGCAACGCCAAGCACTGGCAACCAATGCGGGACCACGCGAAGCAGTGCCAAGCAATGCCAAGCAATGCCAACTAAACGCCAAACAATTCAAAGCAGTGCCCGTACCAAGCAATGCCAAGCGATGCCACTTAGGACACGTTCCCCTAGTTGGGGTCGCGCCCGGTTCATGTTTCCTCACTGCATTCCCCGGATAGCTGTCTGTTGTTTCTAAGCCATGCCAAGTAACGCCAAGCAGTGCCAAGCAATGCCCAGCAACACCAATCAACGCTAATAACTGCCAGACACTGGCAAGCAATGCTCAGCAATGCCAAGAATTGCCCAGCGACGGGAAGCAGTGCCAAACAATACGAATTCCGATTGGCCGTGCTCCCCCCTTTCCCCCCGTGGCCCGCTTCGCCTTCTTCCGACAGACCGTGCACCCCCACTGCCCGACCGTGGCCCCCGCTTCCCTTCCCTTGCTGCCCTCCCCCTGGCTTCCCTTCCCTCTAGGGGGACAGGCACGACTCAAGCCAAAAGCCTGGTCCTCCGGGCCTCCGGGCGCGGCGCCCCCGGCCGGCGCGAGGGCCCGCAGCGCCGCGGCGGGCCTCTGGGCGAGACTGCCGTCATGCTACAAGCCTCGTCAAAAATAAGCAGAAACGCAGTTGGAAATCACGACGATCGATCTTCTCGGGCACTTGTTAAAAAAACTGCGCTCTTCAATGCTGCGGAGGGGTCGTCGGATTTTTGAAGCCCTTGCGTCCGCGTCAGATATCTAGCGTCAGCATTGGAGTAGCGCCGACAATACAATCACCGAAAACAGAATCCCTCAGTTTATTTTTGACGAGGGTTGTAGGATTGGCTCTGGATGCGCTCCAGGGCTTCCGCCAGCTCGGGCACGTCCCCCTACAGGCGGATTTGGGACGAAATGTTGAAAACACACGAAGCATGCTCCCAAATGGTCGAAGATGGACAAACCATCGTCCCCAGACTATTCCTTTAGTATTTTTGAATTTTCCTCCTGTAGAGGGACGTGCCCGACTTAATGCTTCCAGGAAAGTGTCGAGCGGCAGAGCCGGTGCGGAACACCAGGACATACAGGGGAACTCCTGGATACATACCGTCGAGATCCTGGAACGCATCATCATCATCATCATCATCATCATCATCATCATCATCATCATCATCATCATCATCATCATCATCATCATCATCATCATCATCATCACCATCATCATCATCATCATCATCCTCATCCTCATCCTCATCCTCATCATCATCATCCTCATCCTCATCCTCATCCTCATCCTCATCCTCATCCTCATCAGCAGCAGCATCATCATCATCAACATCATCATCATCAACAGCATCATCAACATCATCATCATCAGCATCATCATCATCAGCATCATCAGCAGCAACATCATCATCAGCATCATCATCATCATCAGCATCATCATCATCATCATCATCAGCATCAGCATCAGCATCAACATCATCATCAGCATCATCATCATCATCATCATCATCAGCAGCAACATCATCATCATCATCATCAACAACATCAACAACATCAACAGCATCAACATCATGACCTCTTGCTCCTCGGAGGCCTGGCCGCGACGAGGGCCCGGGGCAGGGCCGCCAGGCAGGCCAGGGCCGCCGCGGCGCCGCAGGCGGCCCTGCCCGCGGCGCCGGGCTGCCAGGGCTGCCGGCTGGCTGGGCTCTCGGCGGAGCCTCGCGCCTCCTCGAGCGCGCCGGCGGCGTCGAGCGGCTCCCCCGCGCCGGTTGGGAGGGGCTCGTACCTCGTGCGCGGAACTTAATTAAGTAGGCGCAGACATGCTCGAGTACGGAAGGAAGCGGGACAGAATTGTCTCGTCGTGTTCAGCCAGCCTCGGGGGGCCCTCGCCGGGGCCGTCAAGAGGCGATCGGCTTTTGACGGTCCCGGGGAAAGCGTCGAGACTTCTGGCTGGGTAGTCGAAGCCAGTCTGGCGCCAATCTGGCAGGCCCAATCTGGCAAACGGAGGCAATCTGGCGAGGGAGCCAACGCGAATCCAGTCTGGCGAAGAACCCAAATCCGCCAATATGGCCAGGCCAGATTGGCCCTTGGGGCCCAATCCAGTCTGACAGTCTGGCCTTCGACTACCCAGTCTAGGGACCGCGTGGTGAAAGATCAGGGCGTCGCATGCCTGGAGAGGCAGCGGCGCTTTCGGCTTGGCCTCCTCCAGGAGGCCCCTCGTCGCCGTGGCCGGGCGCAGCTCGGAAAGCTGATGTGCGCTTGGACCCCTGGGAGGAGGAGGAGGAGGAGGAGGAGGAGGAGGGAGGAGGAGGAGGAGGAGGAGAAGGAGGAGGAGGAGGAGTAGGAGGAGGAGGGGGAGGAGGAGGAGAGGAGGAGGAGGAGGAGGAGGAGGAGGAGGAGGAGGAGGAGGAGGGGGAGGAGGAGGAGGAGGAGGAGGAGGAGGAGAAGGAGGAGGAGGAGGAGGAGGCTCTAGGAGGAGGAGGAGGAGGAGGAGGAGGAGGATCACCTCGCCCTCCTCCGATCCTCGAGGACCGATCTCGACCGATCTCGAGCTGCCACTGTGTCGACTCGCCCTGCCCCGATACCTGTAGGCGCGGGCGGCCCTGCCTCCGCCTGGCATCGGCGCCGGCACGCTCGCCGCTCCCACCCCGCCCGTCCTGCGACGGCCTCGGCCAACATGGCTGCGGGGGAGGTTGGTCGCCCTCGCTGAGGTCAAGGCGTTGCGTGTTTTTTGTTTGTTTTTGTTTTGGTGCAAATTTTTATTCTTATTTGTTGGTTGTTTATATATATATATATACATATATTACCGGGCGTCTTCGCCCAGTTTCGGGCCCCGGGGCCCTCACAGATCCCTCTGGCTCCCAGGATGCCGCTGAGAGATCGGGTCCGGGGCTCCTGTCGTGGTGCCCCAGGACGTTGCAACTTTCTCGCGACGTCGGATCTCAGGGCTGTCCCGTGGCGCCGCACTCTTATTCGTGACGCGGGCCCCTGGGAATTTCGACCTCATCCCCAGGGCAAGCTCTTCCTCCCGAGTCGCTCTCTGACGGGGGGAGCGGCCTCCGCATGCCGAAGACGCCTGAAGACACTCCGTCGCGATGCTTCTGCGACGCCCGGTTTTGAGTCTGAGGGGAAGGACCTGGACCCAATCTTTGAAGGGGCCCTGGGACACACAAGTAAATACACACAAATAAAAGAATTCCCCATATTATCCCATATGTTCTGAGTTTCTGTCTTCCCCCCCACTTCCCACATTTTTCCATATTTTCCTGGGAGTGGACGATTAATTGTGTCTGTGTGTTTCTTTCCCTCCTGAATCTTTCATCCCGCAAAACTTTTTGACGGCCCCGAGGCCCAGTAAACGGGTAAGGGCCCCCAGACTCCAAACACTGTAAACAACTGTCCGTCGTGTGCTCAAGAATCGCGGGAGGGCATGCGGAGGAAGGGGAGGAGGAAGGACCAGCGCCTCTCCTCCTCTGCGTGGGCGCCTCTCGTCGTTCAGGCGGGCGCTCCCCACGAGAGAAGAAGGATGCGCACTGCGGGGACTCCTGAGGATGCAGGGCGGGCCATCTGGCCCAGCACTGTGCGGGGGGGGGGAACGCTTGGTGTGAAGGGACGGCTTGCTGCTGGAGCCAAATCCTGAGCCTGGGACGCTCCATAGGGAGGAGCAGGAGGAGGAGGAGGAGGAGGGGGAAGGAGGAGAAGGAGGAGGCGAAGGAGGAGGCGGCGGAGGAGGAGGAGGAGGAGGAGGAGGAGGAGGAGGAGGAGGAGGAGCAGCCTCTCGTCCCGAACCAGTTTCTTGACGGCCCTGGGCCCCCGGGGGAAGCCCGCGGGGCCCCTCGGGAGCCTGCCCCCTCCGGCCAGCGAGCCTCGGGAGCCGGGCCGGGAGCTCCAGGATCCGCGGGCCGAGAGAACGTGTCCGAGGACGCCCGGGCCTCCCCCGCGGTGGGGAAGCCTGGGCCCAGGCTGTCGCGCCCGGCTCTGCTGTCGCGAGCTCCGACGGAGCGAAAAGATGCAGCAGGGAGGAACATCACGACAAAAGTTCTACGGACCCCATCTTTCCGCTCCAGTTGTCGAGCCCGATCGATCTGTGAGGGTCCTGGGGCCTGAAACCAAACAGACTCGCCCGTCGTGGAACAAATTCTGCACTCCTGGGGAACCCGGATACGGCGAGAGACCTCCAGGAGCCTGGTCCTCAGGACCCCTCCCCCTCGGTGGCGAACAGAATTGCTCGACGCGGAGATCCCCATAGATGCATTTTATGTTGTGGCACCTCCTGCTACGAATCGCAGAGTGTGAGCGAATCTCAGCCTGAGAGCGACCGGTTGAGAGCGGGTCCGAGTGCGAGTCATGCTTTACTGTATGCTGCTCTCCCTTGGGGTGCCCAGGGACCAAGCCTGCTGAACATAGACACGTCTGCCCCCTAAAGAAGACCCGCGAGACATCACCACAATCTGATCGCGAACGGGAAAATGAGATACCCGCTGGCGGACCCCACTTGGGTGCCCAAGTGCTATGCCTGCTGCGTCGCGGTGATCATGCGACCTCGACAAGAACACACGCCTGCCACCTAAGACAATCGAGCCGCTCAAGACATCCCCACAATCAGAGCGCGAACGGGCTAATTAAATACACTCTGGCAGCTCCCTCTTGAGGTTCCCAACTGGTCTGCCTGCTACGTCGCTGTGATCATGCGGCCCGACAGAAACACGCCTGCATACAAAAAAGAGCCGCTTGAGACATTCCCATCATCTGAGAGAGAACGGGACACTCGAATACACCAGGCGGCTCCCCCTTGGGATGCCCAACTGCTCTGCCTGTTATGTCTGAAGTGAGCCTGAGTGTAATTGAGTCTGAGTGTGAGGGAATCTGAGTGTGGGTGAATCTGGTGGTGAGTCGGAGTCTGAGTGTGATTGAGTCAATGTGCAAGTGAACACGGTTGCGAGTGGTCCGGTATGACTCTGAGCGTGTGTGTGTGTGGATGTGTGTGTGTGGGTGTGTATGTGTGTGTGGGTGTGTGTTTGTGTCTGAGTGTGAGTGAGTCTGAGTGTGAGTATCCCTAAACTGAGAACGGGTGGATCTGACTGTGAACGTGTGCGGGTCTGAGCATGTGCGGGTCTGAGCGTGCGCGGGTCTGAGCATGACAAGGGAGGAGGGAGAAGGCGGGAGTGCTGAGCAGGCGGGGGCATCCCACTCACGACAAGAACCCCGCCCTCAGGACCTGGCAAAAAAGGGCGTGGAGATGTGGACGAAGGGTGGCCACGACCTCTTCTCCGGGATCCCGCCCTCTTCCCAGATGCCGCTGCCTCATCCCGAACCGCTTTTGCTGCAGGTCCCAGGCCAGCAGGGACGACCCACGCAGAGAAGCCGGCCGTCGCGACTCCTGCTGCGACGCCCCGATCCTACAGTCGGGCTGCTGCAGTACAGTCCGGGCGATGACCTAAGGAACCCAAAATAAGGAACGAGGCTCCTTGTTCTCATACGTTCAACTTCGATGTCCCATGGAAAACCTCAGGAAGACCTGAGGCAAACTGTTAAACAATCAAGGAACACCGAGCCCCTCCCCAACGAGAAGGGTTCCTTCTTCAGCGTCCCGACTGTAAGGAAACGCCAGATCAGGAGCGAAGGCCCGCCTTGACACCACAGGAGCCTGGGTGCGAGGAGGGCTTGGAGGAACCACCACGGAGTGACCTAAGGAAGAGCGAGCCTGGAGGAGGAGGAGGAGGAGGAGGAGGAGGAGGAGGAGGAGGAGGAGGAGGAGGAGGAGGAGGAGGAGGAGTTGGGGAAGGAGGGGAAGGGGAAGGGGGAGGGGGAGGGGCAGGGGCATCGCAGCCCGCGATGCGCGGTCACCTTCGCACCCTCGCGCCGCCCTCTGGAGAAGGCCAGCCCGGCGGCCCCGACCCCGGCGCGCGAATGGGGCCCCTTTCGCGCCCCTGCGGGTGACCTCTAGGCCTTGGTGGGCCCGTGCGGACCCGTGCGTGCGATGATGTCCCGATCTTTCCAGCTCGGGGCCCCCGGAAGTGCTGGTCCCCTCCCCGGGCACCGTTTTTGCATGCCGAGCCGTCCTTCTCGACGCTCCCAGAGCCTGGCGACGGCCCCCAGAGGCCGAAAACGGCCCGAAGCCTCCACCGCGAACTTGTTTCAGGACGCACGCGAGCACGCCCGGGGAGGAGCAGTCGGGGATCTTCTGACCCAGGTCAATCCAAACCCTGGTCAGTCAGGCCTCGCAGAATACTGCAAGCCCCCGCAAAATCCTGCACCCAAGCCCGGGCCAACGCGAAGGATCCTGCAAGCTCCTGCAGGATCCTGCGCCCAAGCCCGGGTCAATGCGGCCCCGGCCCTGCAGGATCCTGCAAGATCCGGCGCTCTGGCTGACCCCCGTTTGCATTGACCTGAGGGGGAGGAGGAGGAGGAGGAGGAGGAGGAGGAGGAGGAGGAGGAGGAGGAGGAGAGGAGGAGGAGGAGGTGGAGGAGGAGAGGAGGAGGAGGAGGAGAGGAGGAGGAGGAGGAAGGAGGAGGAGGAGGAGGAGGAGGAGGAGGAGGAGGAGGAGCAGAGAAGGTGGAGGAGGAGGAGGAGACGGTGCAGGCGAGGACCGGGGCGGCGGCGACGGCGCGGAGGTGCGGGCCTCCGTGGCTGGCGCGCCCGCCACCCGCACAGCCCGCGGGCCCCGGGCCGCGGCGCGCCGCGGGCGCGGGGGGGGCGAGCGCCTGCGGGCGCCGCTGCGGGGGCGCGGGCGCCTGCGGGCTGTGGGCACCGCGGCGCAGGTGGGCGCCGCGGGCACCGCGGCGCCGGGCTCAGAGGCCTCCTAGGTGGGGTGCGTCGCGAATGCACAGGGAGCATCAAGGAAGAGGAAGAGGAGGAGGAGGAGGAGGAGGAGGAGGAGGAGGAGGAGGAGGAGGAGGAGGAGGAGGAGGAGGAGGAGGAGGAGGCCTCTGAGCCCAGAGCCGCGCATCGCGAATGCATCGGTGATGCATCGGCGACGTCGGGGACGCAACGATGCGGCGCGATCCTCCGACCCCATCTACGCCGACTCCAACTGGGAGGCCTAAAAAGGTGCGGTGCAAACTTGTGCCAGGCGATGGTCCCCCCCTGTTTCTCGGAAGTTTTCTTCGGGCGTCTCGCGAAGCTCTTCGGATTTTTTCGATGCCCGCGGGGGTTTCCATCAGCTGCGCCTCGTCGGGGTGTGCCAGAATCGCCCCGAACGGCTGGATTCCCGTCAGGCCGTGGCGGCGCAAAAGAATCGCGACACCTTTCCCTTAGCGGCTCGCACAAGGGCGTGGCGCGAGGGGGGGGCTTCTGAGAAGGCAGAGGGGCCTTTTAGAAGGCATGGGCCTGGTCGGAAGCGCCTGGAAACTCCTAAGAAGTCGCCACGCGTTGGATGCACATGCGGGATCGCCGCCGCGCCAGCTCAGGACCGGCATGCAAGCAACGACGGAAATGTGACCTTGAGCACGAGAGTGCGCACGATAGCGCGGCGACCTTGCGCGACAGCTTGCTAAGGCTGCCACCGCGGCGCACCGCGTGGAAAAAGAGATCGCTTGAGCGGAGAGACCGCGTTTCGTGGACGCTTGCTTGGAACAAAACCTTTCGACATGTCGGAACCAGGCCGCCCCCCCTCCCCGAAACATTGGCGCGCCGAGAGAAACTGGGGGGGTCCCT